TTATGCATTATATTGTTATCTTTAAAATATGTTTTCTATTATAAAATTAAAATTAAGATATAAAAATTACATTAAATATAAATTAAGTAAAAATTGTATAAATATTATAATTAAATAGAAAAGCAAAATAATTATAGAAATATATTCTTTTAAATATTTATGAAATTTGAATTTTGTCATTAATAATTATTTGATGTTGGATTTTTACTTTTTGAAAATATAAATAATAACTTATTATGCTGATTTTTAAATTAATGAAACATCAACTAATAAATATTTATAAGAGAATTATGCCAGCAAAGGCGGGCAAAACACCTAGTATATATGTATGTAACAAACATATACACACACACATATATATATATATATATATTGATAAGAAATTTGTCATCTAGTATCATTGAACAAAAATATCAACGAATTAGACCAATTAGTCATTACTCATTTTCAAAATACTGTTTTTTATTCATTTACAGAATAAATAATTAATTATTTATTTGTAAAAGCTAGATTTTAAATTCTCAAGAAACTAGTCAGAAACATATAGATAAACCTTCTTTTGAAAAATCAAAAAAAACATTTAGGAAATAAGCTACTTTTTTTTTTGGTTTTGCTTCTTTTTAAAGTTTTATTTATTTATTTTTAACATCGCTTCTTTTCAAAGTTTTTAGAGAGAAGATGATGGTTATTTACTAAGTACAGACATGTGATAACTTACTTACTGCAAATCATAAGCAAACCCAAGATACCAAATATTAAAGCAACAACCATCGCAGAAATTCCAATACTCTTCTTGGTACAAGGAAACTCAAGCTCAGATCCCATATTTCCAGTTTTCCTCCCCAAATGACAAACAGAATGATTTTTTTCTTCCTCTAATCGAATTGCTTCTAAAACCCTCTGAACCTCTTTAACAATTTCCTTGACAAAATCTGCTTCAGAGCTACCCAAAAAAGAAGATTCACATATTTCATAACATATATATGTATCCTTCATAACAAAAAAAAGCAAAAACAAAAAATTACGTAAAACAAAATGAAGAAGAAGAACAAGTGGAGGAATCATACCTCCTGTCTGGCAATGACATACCCATCTTATTGCATATACATTCAAGAGCATCTTTCCACTTGGTGATCCGATCTGGATTAGCCTTCGCAAGCTTATAGAAGTTTTCACCAAACTCACCTTTCAGATTTCTAACGTCTTTTACCTGCACTTTGTAGAAAATTGGAATCACTATGAGCTTTTTCTTAACCACAAGCTTCTTCATCTTCACTAACTCATCCATACACCACTTCGACTCCGGATACCTACAAAGATAACATATACTGATATACATGAGACTATATTATTCTAGTGAGTCATAAAAAAAAGTTAGGGCACCCTCTTTGGGGAGCTCTTAAAGAGTTTCTCATTAAAAAAAGGAAAATGAAGACAGAGAATGCAAATTTAGAGGAGAGAGGTATGATGATTCCTAGGAAGAGCTTCTGACAAAGTCTGAAGAGATTGCTTGTCTTCAATGTATTGGTCCAGCTGATTTTAAAATATTTTTGTATTAATTAATTTTTATTTTTCTTTGTTTTTGAGAAAATCTCTGACAGTTTCTGATGACTGCGAATGTCTTATAGTCGTCGTTGAAAAATGGGTTATATATTAATATAATAGTGCAAACCTTGGAGAGAAGAGAGCAATAGCAATGCTCGAGTCTTCGATCCTAACAAATAGATTCTTGAGGTCTTTGCCTTTCTGCTCGTGTACATCTATGAAGAAGTTAATGCCATGCCTCTCAAAGGCGTCAACGAGGTGACTAAGGAAGTTTAACCTCACATCTTCACCTCGAAAATTTAAAAATATTTTATGCGTCTCCGCGGGAGACAAGTTTGTACTTGATTTTGCGCAAATGACCAACACTACTGGGAATGAAAGAAAAATATGTGAGAAGAGGAAAAAAAGTAAAAGATTACTTCTGAACATGATAGAGAAGGAAAGCCTTAATGGTTACGCAAACGTTGACCAAAAAATAAGAAGTCTTTTACCAAAAAAAAAGGATAGAAATAATCAAAATCTTGAAAGGAGAGAAGAAGGTTGTTTGGGGTTTATTTGGGGTTTATAAAGGAAAAGAGAAACAGCAAGAACCCTATGTAAACCTTAACGAAAAACCAGTGAGCAAGTCTTTCTCTCACACCGATCACATCCTCTTTCTGTCTCTCAAAACCCAATGTAAATCTTAAACAAACAGCTAGCAGTGAGTAACTGTGCCTCTCTCTCTTTATCAAAACCTAACGTAATGCTTAACAAACAGGAGTGGGCAACTCTCTTTCATTCTCAAAACTTAAATAAACCCAGTGACCATAACGAACAGCATTGAGCAACTCTTTCTCTCACACCGACACCCTCTTTTTCTCTCTCAAAACCCAATGTAAACTTAACAAACAGCATTGAACATCTCTCTCTCTTTCTCAAAACCTTATGTAAATCTTTACAAACACCGATGATCAACTCTCTCTCTTTAAACCCAACGTAGGCCCCTCCACCGGACTTTTCTGAACGCGTTTTTGATGAGCTCTACCACCCGTCTTATAAGACATGGAGAAGAAAATATCTTTAGGGGTTTCACAGTATTCCTCCCTAAAAAATACATATACCCTACATTCACACTTCCCAAATTCCTACTCTCATCGAAACCCGCTAAGTTATATATGTCACAAGTCTCTCCCAAATCTCATCAAAGACCCCCGCGCTCCCCTCCGCAAAGTTATATATTAAACCTAATTCCATAAACATAATAAAATTAGTACAGTCACGATTTATCTTCTTAAAAACCTGAAATTACCCATAAATTCCCATGCATTTATCTGACTTCCTAGCCTAGCCGTCTATGTTACTGTTACTGGAATATAGAATCTGATTCATGACTAATTATCTGTTCACTTCATCCTTTGACAAGCTCTTTGAGTTCTCGTTGATACATTGCATTGATTACACCATACTCAAGGCAACTTGTTTGGCAATTTTCAAGACTTCTGATGTGTTTGTTTTGTCTATGCCATTGATATGGTGGTGCATATCTGTATAGCTAGCTAGACATTAATTTATACGCATTGCCCAAGTTATTGTTCTTCAGATGTTTTTGCATACATTAATCATCCACTACAAGAATATTAAAGTCTCCACTCCGAGGATTACTAGATATGTGCGACGATTACCCTTTAGTCAGAGTTTGAGTGTCTGCGAAACAGAGGTTCTCGGAAAATGGCTTTTATTTGAAAACTTGTTGGAGTGAATTTTCCAATAGACCAAAACAAGCAACCGTCAAAATTTTCGTAATCACATTGGAAAATTTCCGGGAAATTTAATTGATTTATTTTAAAAAACATAAATTGTTTGATTGCGTGAAAATTATGTACATATATATATTATATATTGTGCTTGAGCAAGAAGGCGCCGACAAATATTTAAGGCCGAATTTTTCTTTTCCATTTCTGAAGATGTTAACGTTACCAGAAAAAGTGTGTACGGCTGTAATCATGAAGAAGTTAAACCCAAAAAAGAAGACAAACACGTGCTTATAATATCACGTGAAAGATGGCCCAATATGTCTTCTTCTTTTCTTTTTAAATATGTTTTCTTCGTTTCCTCTCCGGGGAAAACCTCGGAAAGTGAGATGTTTCCTTGTAGCGATCCTATCCCATGCCCAAGTGAATATTTGATATCCAACTCATAAAAGGTTTTTTACATCTGGAGGCATTTTTTATCTTTTTTAATTATGGCTGAAATGACTTTGTACTTGTAACTTGTAAGGCACTTTTGTTGTGTAACTAAAACTAATCCATATCACATGCGATTAAATATAACTCACTCCCAATCAATCTCTCGCCATTTAAATCTCATCTTTTGGTTGAACCCTAATCCCCAATTAAAAATCTGTAATCTAGTGCCTACTAAAGATGATGAAGAACAAGAACCACAAATCCGACACATCAAACTTCGATTCCCTATCCATAACGTCTCGAAACATAATGCATATTGAAGAGGTTGAGCTTCTCCTCTCGAAACCTAACCGAGAACCATTTCCTCTGTCTCAAAAGATGGCTAAGCTCCGGTGGATAGGTCGTAGGTTTCTGTTCGTCCATGCTCCATTCTGCTGACTTCCCCGGTTCATGAGGACATGACCATAACAGATCGAACCAGTTATGGCTGTGGGTCGACCAAATTGGATAGAGAGATCTAGACTTCATCCATCGAGTCTTCTTTAAACACTTAGGGGATAGAGAAGTTGTATCAGTCGTCTTACTGATTGCTTATTCTTCTCTCCGATAAACCCGTGTCTCTCCTCTCAGATCTTGTCAACCTCTATGACACAACCAAGCAAACCATAGCCGAATACATATGGTTCATTTTCCTTTCTCTATGTTTTGCTCTCAAGACGACTAGCATTTGAATGAACATGATCATTGGAGAAGATTGGCTGGAGATGAAGTGAAGAATAGAGGACGACGGCAGTGGGACCTCTACGTCTCTGGTAAAAAACTACAAAGATAGTAGAAAAATAAAAAAGATAACTTTACTTTCTGATCTCCTAAATCCTAGATTCAGAATTTTATGATCTTCTAAATCCTTGTAATGGATTCTGGTTTTTCTTTTGTAGGTTTCTTAGTGTTGTTCTGGTTTTCAAAATCCAGATCTGTAAAGTTTCGATTGGTTAAAGTTTGGACGGATGATAAGGGTGGATAGAGTCATTGTGGTATTGCTCCGCGTGGACATGATCTTCAGGACTAGTAGGGTGGCTTCCGGTTATGTCTTGCTTGGTGAAGTGAGTGCAGGTGAGTTGTCCAAAGCCAATGGATCAATTCAGAACACTCAGCTCACATAGACACCATTCTAACATCACATGTCCACACACTATTCATCAACACATCACTTGTCCATGAATCTCCCGTCCACGCATCACCCATCCACACAAAACATCTTTTAAAGACAAAATTGTCCAGAATCTACTTCTTGCCCACAACAAAATATCTCACATGTAAAATGTGCTTCTGAATGTAAAGAATAGTCCCAAAGTGGCACTGAATATAATCAACTCATAAAAAGACTGAACATTTGATAGCAATTTTCCTTTACAGCTTTAGTGTTGTACCCACTTTTTCCAAAATAATAAAATAAATAAGAATCTATAAAATTTCATTTATTACTTCTCATAAATCATTTCTAAATACCACACAAAACATTCATTAAGGACAAAATTATCCAGAATCTGCCGCTTGCCCACAGCAAAATGTCTTACATGTAAAATGTGCTTCTGAATGTAAAGAAAAGTCCAAAAGTGGCACTCATAAAAAGACTAACATTTGATAACAATTTTCCTTTACAGCTTTACTGTTGTACCCACTCTTTCCAAAATAATAAAATAAATAATAATCTATAAAATTTCATTTATTACTTCTCATAAATCATCTTTAAATAACACAACTTCAATAAATAAATAAAATATGAATAAATGATGATATCATAAAATAGAAATATGAAGAAAAAAAACGACGAAAAAAGCAGCCCAAAAATACCAATCCGATAGAATTACTCATGCTTGTCAGTCTCACTTGAAAGGGGAAAGAAGACGAGTGAGTAACATAAGAATAATTCAGTGAGATAAGGAATGCTAGATACACAAACCATTGACTAAGTACATAGAACTTCCACTATAAAAATTTAACTCTAACATGAACATACAAGACGCCTAATGCATCACATGAAACAACCAATACGATGATAACACATAGCTAGACCATACTCTTCGCATTCTTGTCATACAGATCCCTAATTTCGTATATATATAAACCTTGCGTCAATATTACAGAAGTCACCACCGCAATAGTACAATAGAACCTCTATAAATTAATACTAGATAAATTAACAATCTCTATAAATTAATAAATTTCTCTGGTCCCAACTTGGGCCGGTGTAAAATATGAAATAGATCGATAGAATAATAAGATAATAATATTTTTAAAACTGCCATGTAAATATATGGTCTCACTAAAATCATAAATTAATAATCTAGCTATATATAATATTATAGAAGTACAATCTAACATTATATTTTTGATTTTATATTTACTATAAAAATACTTTTATTTTTTTTTTAAATATTTCAATATATTTTGATAATATTTAGTTAGGGGTTTTATATTTACTATAAAATACTTTTTATTTTTTTTACATTTCAATATATTTTGATAATATTTAGTTAAATTATATCGAAAACCATGTAACAATTCTATGAAACATAAAAAAATACACCAAATAAGATAATAAAATAATATAAAAGTCAAATTTCTAAAATTTAAATAATGTACATATGCTAAAATCAAATATTTTTTCTTTTATAAATAAAAATGGAAAAAAAAATCTAAATAAAGAAACTTTCGTAAATTAATATCTCTATAAATTAATAAAATTTCAAAGTCCTAACATTATTAATTTATAGAGGTTTTCACACCTGCATTACTAGCTCAGATGTCTTTGGCCCCAGTAATCTCCACATAGTCCCTATATGTATAACTATATAGATAGATATAGATAGATCACCATGTAACATCACTCAAATTCAATCAACAGTTGAATCGTTTAGATCCCTAATTTCCGGTTTACAATAAATACACTAACTGCTATGCAAGACTCAAACAAATTCAACTCATAAAGACAAAACATGTTTCGAAATTAGACGAGGATAGAAGGAATTCTACACCAGTAATGGGATTTAAAGGAATAGCACTCACCTTACCCTAGATCGGAGGGCCAGAAGCGGATTAGAGAATATACATGATAACTTGATCACCAAAAAAATTAGGGTTTCGCCATGGATCTCATATTCTCGCGAAGGACACAATAGATCGGAAATACGAGGACAAAACAAGAAAAATAATTAAACAATATGATTTGGCAAGGAAAAAGGATGACCCATATACATAAGCTCACGCACAATAGGATTTCGCAATATGACACGAACGTACATGACAATAACATGAGCCTAACATGGTGGAAGATCACTTACGTTAGCTTTACATGAGCATGGTTGGGGAGCAAAAAAGATGAATGGTGACGGCGGCGATCCAGACCTTGGCGACATGGATCTCCGGTGACACGGCTGCACCTCCTTTCCTCACACGAGCACAAGCAAACGGGCCCAAGCGGACCATGACATGAGGAACAAAAGAAGAAGAGAAGGAGAGACATGATGAATATGTGAGGAATGAAAACCATAGAAGAGATGGAGGTGGACGGCAAGGCTGAAGACTTCTTCTAACTCTTCACGTTGACGGCTAGGTTTAGAAATGAATTGGAGATACACACGCTTTGTATCTGTGTAAACACGGTTTGACTAAACCAAAAGGGAAATAAATTGGGTTTGGTCTAAATTAATTAAAGGAAAAACAAACCAAATCCGGTTAAGAGAACCGGGTCATTACATTTACAGGCTGCTACGTGTTCAAACATCCAAAGGAAGTGAAGACGCAGTAACATCAGGTCACAAATTCAACACATGGAATGGAAACAAAGTCAGCCAAACATGGCAAAGAAGAAGAGG